CAACGTCCCCCCAAAGTCAGCTTCAGCACTGCTCACAAAGCCAGGCTCTCCGGGCAACGCCAGCTGGCATTCATCTTAAAACAGCAGAGCATAACGTTGGTATAAAAGTGGAACTTGACTTAAAAGCAAAGCAGAGAAAATGCCCAAAGCCAATAATAATTTTAACATCAAAGGAAGTCACATAAAATGTGGACAAAAATTATTGCAAAGGAAAAGCAAATTAACAAATTACCTGACAGTAGACACACAATTTTTAAAGTATAAACAGACTAGCAAATGACATCTCTGCTTTAGACACAGCTGATTTTCCCTGTTTTGCACCAAATGTATGGGTTGGATGGCACAGCGAAGTGGATGCCTTTTTCCTCAGTTAAAAAAAGCCCAATAATAACCATAATACTGCACGAACCCTGCAGTGACACACGATGCTGGTGTCCCAGCAACCTGATGGAGCCATGCCTGTGGACCGAGGAGAGCGAGAGAGGGCGTGCCAAATCAGCCACGATGGCCCTGGAAGCAGTTAAAACTTTACAAGGTAGAGCACACACGAGAACAACACCCGCTCCAACTAACAGCACTGCAGCCCTGCTGCTGTTCATGAACCACGAGGGTGCTGGCCGAGCCCCCCACTGAATGCTGACGCTGTGCACTTGGAGGGCACTGCAGCCCTGCTGTTCATGAACCACGAGGGGGCTGGCCAAGCCCCCCACTGAATGCTGACGCTGTGCACTTGGGGGGCACTGCAGCCCTGCTGTTCATGAACCACGAGGGGGCTGGCCAAGCCCCCCACTGAATGCTGACGCTGTGCACTGGGGGCGCTCATTCTCCCATCTCTCAGGCCTTCAGCATATGCTCCGGGCATTCGGTCATCTCTTATTGACACATTTCTTCCCACTCAGAGCAAACAGCAGACTTCTCTTATTTTACTTACTAAATACCAGCTGTCAAGGGCCTGTTTAAAATGAAAAGACTTATCACCTTGTGTAAATGACAAGATTAATAACGTCTTGGATTTCTGAGAACTTTATTCCACTTAAAGACCATGTCAAGGCAGGCCAGGAGCTTGAAGGAAATTCTGTCCTCTCCTAAGCACGTGTGTTAAATACGTGCATAGGTAAAATGCTACCCCACAGCACACACCCGGTCACTCCAGTTACAGGGGCAGAGAGAGGCCCTGTGCAAGCCATGGACCGGGCCTCGTGACCTCTCTGACTCCGTCCTGCCGCATGTGGTTCAAGCAGAGAACTGGCACTGCCTGGGGCAGCCAGGGGGTGTATGGGTGAATAGCACAGTCATCCCTGGTTGGCAGGGGAAAGGTGTGGAAGGAGAAGCCAGAGCAGAGCATTCCCAAAGCTAAAATGGTTGTGTTCTTCATCCACCAACCAAAATCATTTGTAAAAGCAAGATATCTGAAAGGCTTCAAAGGAAAGACACAGAAATATCTAGACTCTCAAAGAAGCAGCTCGGGAAATCGTCAAGATGCTTGGCCTACTGACAGTAAACAACTGGGTGCTCCTGGGTGTAAGTGGCACTGGCCAGAATGGGGAGAAGAGCTGCGTGCACGCTGGTGTCCGTGGGCCTGCAAGAGCTCCCGTCCCTGCGCGCTGCCAGCGCCCCTGTGCTGCTCTTCCCCTTGAAGGCAACCAGGCCAACTGCGCAGGGCTACAACAGGAACGCATTTAGGCTTCACGTGTCTCCATAGAAATGTCCAGCCCACTGCTGCGCCCGGCACTGGAGCCGGGCAGGCCTGCGCAGAAAGGAGGGAGGAAGGCCAAGGGCCAAGGGGGCTCGAACGCATCCACTGTGCTGTGACCTGACTGTGGTCTCACTTTCTATCATATTTAGAAAGATAAATTCCCATAGTTAATGCAGTGTTTTCAAGGCGTGAATCAAGACATCCACCAGGAGCTAAAGCTTCTTAGTGACAATCCTATGCCTCCAACACCATCCCCGCAGTAACTCCGACACAGGGGATCCCAGGGACCTCTGAAAGAACATCACGAAATTCACATCTTTCGAGGCAGCATTATCCAGAAAGTCAACACCTCAATACTCGTTCTAGTCTGGAAAAACAAAATCTGAGATAACGTAACTCACAGAAATCTATTGGGAAATTTAAACTCAAGAAAATCCCCTTAAATAAAATGCTTGCAGAAAGATACTGGGAAAGACGTCAATTAAACGATGTTTGTGTTTACCTTTTATGATACAAAAGAGATCACATCTTTATCAACTTTTCTTACAAGCCCAAATCCATGCTGTTTCTAAGAATTTCTTCATCTCCAATTAAATGAAATACTGCTTTTGCCCAGCACACGTGTCTCGACAGTCCCACTGCCCTCTGACTCTCACCATCTTAGCAAGCGCACTCTTGGCCTCGACTGAACCCCCTCATACTCTCCACCGTTGTAAAACGGACCTTCATTGATTCCATGTGACCTTTAACACTGGATTTAAGGAAAAAAAATCTATGTCTTTGCAAAAGGGAACTCTAACTCACACACTCTTGTTTTGTTCTGGGAAGTCTTTTTCCTTCTTTGCTAAGTGACCTAATTATTGCCATGACTGGATTGAGCTGCAAGCCTCACCTGCAACTCCTTCTTTCTAGAGCACAGGACTTGTGCCTGTTCTTTTCCTAAAGTTAACTTTATAAACTCTAGAGAGGGATGATTCAAGAGAAAGAAGCAAGCTTTCCGACAGCCCCTGGGCCAGTGCGCCCAGTGCCCTTCTGTGTGTCCCAGGGGAGTTGGTGGTGCCCCTCGGTCTGTGTCTGGATGGTAAGGAAGAGCTTCACCACGTGACGGTGGCACAGACCTGGGCATCTCTGTAGACGCTGTCCTCTCCCCATCCCCAGACCAGCACCCACAGTCCAAAGCTGGCCAGAACTGCTCACTTTGATTGGCTTTTAGAAATATGCATATGAGTTTATAAATGAATACTTACAATATACACCTACACCATCCAGGTGTCTGCTCTCCTTTGTCTTGTCAGCTTGGCTACGTGTAACTGTATACATATACACCCATCACATAAATCTGACTTTTGCCTCTGACATTCTTTTCTTGTTGTTTATGAGTGAACATACATGACCATGTAATATCAATTTCACAATTATGTTATTTGATATGCACTCTATTGCTACCCTAGATTTTTGCTATCATAATACAGAACTTCAAAATGAGTACTTAAAGACATAAGTATGAGCCTCAAATTGATCTTATATTTTCCTGCTTAACTATTTTCCCTGGTTCTGCAGTTAAAATAAGTAAACATGATATTCACTCAACTATAATCCCAGCACATTTTCTTTTGAAAACATACACTTTATAATGTGCACTTAAAATTAACCATGACAAAATTACAAATACCTATGTGAATGAACATTCTAATCCATACTTAAGAAAAAAGTTTCTTTTTATTGAAAAAGATTTAGATTTCCAATGACAATAGTCTATTTGTTATAAAATATTAGATTTATAAACATTAAGTGAATAAAATGACTGTAAGTCGACTTGTATGGATTACAAGTCCCATTCTCAAATTCTCACCAGTTCCACGAAAGTTCTAATGCAGCAACTCCCATTGTGACTGGGTCTGGAGAGTGAATCAGAGTTATAATGTCTCTTAAGACTATCTCTTGAGGTTCTGCCAGTCCTTGTTTAAGGAACACAGCATGCATGTGCTCACTAACAGCACCTTTGTAATTCCCACATGTACGAAGAGCGGGCACTCAGGAGAGTGTTGCTGAGAGCATGACAGTAACTCACATGATTGAGCTGGGCTATTTTCTGCTCACAATCAATAGCTAATTTAATAATGCTTTCCCTTGTCGATAATGCCTCTTGTTTTCTTATGGCAAAGGGAAAAAAAAACAATTGATAGGTTTATTATTTTTGATATATGTTGAAGATTTTAAAATGATTCCCATTTAAATCTAATTTTACAATTTATTACCTCTTCTATAGTTTAGCCAGTAAAAATTATCTGGTAGCTGGTAAGATGCCAAATAATAATCTCACAACGATGATTGAAAGACTCTCAGCCCACACGAGGCTAGCTTTATTTAACAGCTCTCAACTGGAAACATCTAACGTAAAACTTTTCTTTTTCTTGGTGGCGATTTCAGACCAGATTTCCCAAGCAACAATTTCAATTTGATCTTAAAAACATATGTGATTTAGGTAACCATTGGGTTAAAAGAAATAGATGATTATAACATGACTTAATTTTAACACAATGATGTCTATAAGACAAAAATTAACATGCTGAACTTCCGGTTATTTTTAGTATTGTCACACTGAATTACAAGATTTGTAATCTAATTTTATCAAGTGTGAAGTATGATTCCTGATATTTTCCTGATTTTTATTTCATAGTTACTGTTATTAAAGTCAGCCTCACCACACAGTCCTCCCTAATGTCACAAAGCAATTTCCAGCAGTGACATTTTAAAACTTTTCCACATATACAAAAAGGAATAAAAGAGTATTTTGATTAACTTGAAAGCAAAAGTTCTCACTTAAAATTGGACAAGCAACATAAAATGCAAAATCAGATGAGCTCACAGATATCACAGACACATATCTACTCACTGTTTAAAAAAAAAAAACCTATATAACATTTCAAATCTATCACTTCCAATTTCTGCATAAATTAAACATTCTTGATTAGTTCAGTACATTCCATGAATAGATCGACCGTGATAGTAGAGAAAACCGTAAAGGGTAGTAAACAAAGAAATGTTGGATTTCCAAATCATTCAATCGCAGTAAGAAAACTGGACCATTTAGGATGGAGACCAGCACAGAGTGAATAAACTACTCCGAGACAGTAATCCTGCAAAGGATTTTGCTCTGCATCTCCCACGTCCGTGTGCGGCACCTCTCCCCGTCAACAAGCAAGCCACGAGGGGCTACTGCAGCTCACTGTTGCTTTTATTCCTCGGGCTTCACTGCTACTTCAGTGCTCTCAAAGAAAGAAAGAAAACCTTGAGCACATACCTGGTCATCTACCTGGCATGCAACGAGGTTGTGCTGGTCCTGACAGCCGGCGAACCTGATGTACTTGAGCCAGCTTCCCACATCTGCTTGACTGGCGTCTATGCAGAACTTCACATTGCAAAACTCATCCAAGATCTGCAAGAAGATGAGAACAGTCACTGGGCATCTCGGCCCACTCATTAACATACTATGCTTAGCTACTCGAAAATGTTTACCGAAATGTTTACTCCTCCTTTGAACACTTAAAGAATCAAACAGCACGCACACCAAATTATCCCGGAAATGAAAATGGACTGCTGCTTCAGAAAGGAAGAAAGCAGCTACAACTTATGGAAGCTGATAGATTGGCTTTCCAAGATGCTTGTTTCCTTACTAATACCTGCATTATTGACTTAATAGTATCCAAAGTGATTTTTATAAAAAACATTTAACGGTACATATTAAGAAAATATTTCTAGACAGTCAGTCCTTGGGCCTAGATCACTGCACAGTCAACACTCCACAACCACATAGCCTTCTCATTGACGTGTACATTTTCACATTTGGGCACTTTACTAATTCAGTTTTAAAACTTGAATCAGAATCTTACTGAACTCTTTTCCCTCATTTGCATCTCATCACCTCAAAACAAATGACACCTTTAACGGAAAGAAGCCGATTTTCGCAGAGGCCTCTGAACAAAAGCAGAAAACAAATGAAAGCAGTTGGCAGGTAAACACTCATGTGGAGTATGACAGCCTGCGTTTTAGACAATATGTCAATGCAGGATGCGGCATTACGTCTAGAATGTGAAATAACAAAGCTGGCGTGTGAACAGGTAAAAACACATAGGAATATTTGAACACACTGCAATATTGTATATGGTTTAGCATTGCTGGTTTTCATGAGATTTCACATTTGGCCTGTCTTGTAGGGCACTCACCAAACAACAATTACAATGGAAAAGTTCCGTTTTTCAGGTTTTGCATGCATAAGTTGCTAAGAACAATCTTTTAACACACATTCTAAAAGCTGAAGACTTGGTTGGCTGGTAATGTTGCATCAGTCAGTTACAATTCAAACTTGAGGAAGTTTCCTATCCAGGACTAAACAACACACTCTAGAACCAAAAAATAAGGAATTGAACAACCCTCCTGGAACTGCCGCCTCTATGCCCACATCGAGGTTTAAGTTTGGGTCTGTAACCAGAAGCAATTTTGCACAGAATCTGGGTTATCCCCAATTGCAGAGTCAAGTCCTTAACTCACCATAAACTTCAAGAAGAACCCAGCATGCTGAGGGTTCTAGTCAAGAGGCACCATGAACAAGCCTTCCACTATGGGGCAGGGAGTCTTCCCACAATTTAAGAAAGAAAAAGCAAAAGAAAAGATAGAGACAGTGATTTCTAAGCACTTGCATGTGAGCGCACACATACACACACACACACACACACACACACTCCCTGGTCTTCCCCAGGACATTCACACACACCATCCACAACAGAAAGGAACACTTTCATGCCTTCTTTAGTGAGGACAAGTTTTAACAACCTGTGTTTTACGAAATTACAAACTTTTACATGTTTCTTCAACTCCCAATGCTGAGTAATTCTAAGAGCAGCTCGGGACTTGCTCCTCTTCCCAGATGTTGAAAAGGCACATAAATAACAACAGGGACGGGCGTTTCAAAAAAGCCAACACTGAGTGGTGTGTTTCTGTGATTTCTGGTGAGCTTTTGTTTGTTTTCTTGACTAGGAAAGAGACAGAGAGAGAGAGAAGGGGAGAGAAAGAGGCAGTGCTACTGACACACCAGAGAAATATTTAATAAAGGAAATAGGGTAAGTCCGTGAAACGCAACACCAGCCCCATGTCTTATTTGCAGAAAGAGGTGGAAAACTTGCTAATTTCAAAGTCAAGAAGCATGAGCCCCTTAGCTCGGCAGGCAACGAAGTATTCTATACACCGCACAGGAAAATTCTAGCTGTAATTTTACTCTGTGTTAACATTATTGCCATTGCCACTGTCAACAGAAAAATTAATTTTTAAAAGGTTCATTTTCAAAGAATTTTTTTACATAATCGGTTACACGATCATTCAAAGATTTCACCAACATATTATTAAATCTTTTACTCCCAATATTCCCACCCCAAGACAAAAGCTGGCCCCACTGCTGCAACGTCTCCCCACCCCCCAGCGTGAGTGAATGATCCACTTTTGATTTGCACAATTGCATTTGTCTCCCCAATGTCTTCATCGTCTCGGGAATCTTGAATAAAATACAGGAACGACACATCTTCCATTATTTCATCTACCACACTCCTGTGTTTTTAAAAGCTGTCAAGTTCCAAAGATAGCTTTAAACACACACACACACACACACACACACACACACACACACACACACACACTTCAGGTGGACTTCGGAGAAAGACCCCTTCAAAAACCCAACAGCAAAAGGAAAGGAGGGGGAAAGGGGGAAAAAAAAAACCCGACTTCCCCAGAATGTAGCCAAAGGGTCCGACTGTGACTTTGTCCCGAAGCAGCGCGCAATGTTGGACAGCAAAGCTGCTACTTGGCAAGGTGGAACTCGGCCGAAAGGCGCTCCAAAGTCGCGTGGCCGGTGCCAGGAATTCAGATTTTGGCAACCCCACCTTGTGCGTCCCCGAGCCCGCCGGCCAGAGCGCGCAGGGAGGGCCGGCAGCGGACGGAGGCCGGAGAGCCGGGAGGCCCCGCGTCCAGCGCCCGGTCGGCAGCAGCGGCCAGGGGCGGCCGGGCCGGCGAGGCGCGGGGCCGGAGAGGCGCGGGCCGGAGAGGCGCGGGGCGCACGCCGCTCCCCTCGGCTCGCTAGGCATTTTTTTCTTTTCTTTTTTTTTTTTTTTGAGTTCTCTTACCTTCAGATTTCTATGGCCTCAACTCAGCAATAAAAGGCAATCACAGAAGACTTAAACAAAGTAAAAAGCAGCAGCAGCCCCAGCTCTCCTGTACGGAATCCTTTCAAACGATCCCCGGCAACATTTCGAGATGATTAAAAAAAAAAAAAAAAAAAAAAAAGGAAGCCTGACGTCTCGGTTTCCAAGTGGGTTTCTGATAACTTTGTCCGTCTCTAGGATCTGCTCGCCGGGACCATGCGTTTCAGATTTATTGTCCGCCAACAGTGTAATTTTTTTTTTTAAGACCAGGAATGAAGTCTTCTCTCGGCCGGGTGACCCGGGTTTGGTGTGTTTTGGCTTTTCTCTGCCTTCCTAAAGGAGCTCGGAACTGTCCTGCTGCCTCACTTCACCTCCCTCTTTTCTCACTTTCTCTTGCTCTTATCAGCCCGAGGTGTAATGAAAGTTATCTGAAACCCACTAAAACTTCTCGCCCTGCTCTCGGCGCGCGGAGGGCGAGGCGGGGCGGGGGGCGCACCGGTCAGCGCCGCCGCGCCCCGACAGCCCGCGGGGTCCTGCTCGGCCTCGGGCTCCCGGGCGCCCCGACTGTCTCTTTAAAGAGGATCTGCGCGGCCATCCAGAAAGAAGCCGGGCCGGGGAGCAGGCGGCCGTCTCCCGCCGCCGGGATCGGAAGCCGCCGGGCTCCTCTTTCTTTAGAGTTTTAAAGTGACAGCAGCCTCCTCTGGCGGGAGAGGTCACAAAAAGGTCGCCGAGACCCAACTCCTATAGGGACAGACTGATTACGGATGCACCAGCCCCCTGGAACATGTAGATTTCTTCGGGTAAACAACCAATGGGGAGATCTCGCCCTGCAGGGTTTCTTTACCCCAGGGAAATGTCCTGGGTTAGGATGTCCCGAAAGCGAGCGAGCGAGCGAGCGAGTGTGTGTGTGTGTGTGTGTGTGTGTGTGTGTGTGAGAGAGAGAGAGAGAGAGAGAGAGAGAGAGAGAGAGAGAGAGAGAGAGAGAGAGAGAGAGAGAGAGGAGGCGAGGAGGAGGGCGCTGGGGGTGGTGCCGGGGTGCGAGGTGTTGGGGTGGCCGGCTGGGGGGCGCTGCAGGGGCGAGGACGGCCGAGGGCGCCAGCTGGCACCAAGCAGTCAGAACCCCAGAAAACAGCAGCTCCGACTGCCAAGTTGACGCGCACATCTCCAAGTTTTCAATGCTGCTCTCTCTCTCTCTCTCTCTCTCTCTCTCTCACACACACACACACACACACACACACACACACACACACACACACACACACACACACTTTTTTAAAGTAATTAACACGAGTACGCCCTGTAGTCCCTTCATCCTTAGCTGGGTCAGCAGGAGGGCGCGCTCCATTTCCGAAGCGCCTTTTCTCCTGGAAGAAGGCATTTTAAAACAGGATTTGCATATAAGCCTCTCCAGGAGCGGACCGGGCTGCGAGAGCCGCTCGAGGAGTGTCTGGCGGCGTGTCTGTCGCCTGCTTCGAGGCTGTTCGTTAAGACGCCCTGAACACGCCACGGCCGAAATAAGCACTTTGACAACTCGGGTTGGTTTTTGTTTTCAGACGCGCAGCCTGGTGACCGTGGGGCTCTGTGGGACACCGGGATGTCGCACGCAGGGCAGGACGACCCTGCAGGCAGAGGGCGAACGCCTGGCACACTACCCTGGGCGTGGGTACACCCACAGGTTACCGGGAAATAAATACTTTTATTAGAAAAAAAAAAAAAGAAAGAAAAGCACCCTCCATTCATAAAAACAAATGTTCCCAGCTCGGCGATGGGAGGGAGCAGAGGGGCCCTCCTGCCAGCGCCCGTGCCACCCACGAGCGGCCAGGGACCCCGTTCCCCACACAGCAACAGAAGGGGTGAGGGGAGGACATGACAGGAGGTGCTGACTGATTCGTTCGCGGCCTGTTATCTGTGACATTGAACTGTTATTTCAGATAATGGCCATTGTTCGAGGGGAAAATCACACAGCCCTGGTAGGGAGGACAGGAAAAATCCTTTGTAAATAACCCCGAGCCCGGCCAGATATTCCCACCGAGCCAGGCGCTGGGGATCCTGAAGGGTCCCGGGTCTGAAGCCATTGATTTCCTGCCCTTCCTCAACGCGCCCATTGTCGGAGGGTTTTTTTTTTTCCCCCTCCTTCTCCTTCTTCTTCTTCTTCTTTAATTTAGCCATAAATTGGGCCGGCTCGAGCTATGAGCCGTTCTATTTTCTTCCTGTCAGGATGAGGGATTTGTTTTATGATGCATTGTGT